AGAAAATGATCAAGGGTTGTTTTGAGATATGTGAATAAACATGGATTGTCATTGTTAAAATTGAGAGATCAATGATTTTATGAAGCATCGATCAAATATGAGAGGCAAATATAGTGGATTGAATGCTCTCATATAGAAGGAAAACCAATCACGATTGTCCATTACATTTCAACCAACTTCAACTCACGGTTGTTTTTCTTGCTAAACCTAATTAAACACAACGAGTTCAACATAGAATAAAATAATTGATTCTTTTGATAGGTACCACAGACTAAAAGCTCAAAAGCGTATATACTTAGAGAATAGACGTAGTGATACCCGTGCACATCGCAATTATGGTTGACTTGGATGTGGTGGTTTGATGCGTTTGTAATTTCCGTGTATTTATTTACATTTTTAGTTAGTTTTGATTGTTTAGTATTTCGGAAATTACACACTTTCGGTGTAATAGTTTAGTTAGTTAAATTCTTGTAAATTGTTTAGATTAGGTTTATTCTGAGCTCAAACAGGTCTAACATCACTCAAGGACAGTTGGTGAACCCCAAAAGTGGAAGGAAGGCACAAGACAAAAGAAGGAAATCCTGATTTTTGTCTATACTCGGTCGAGTATCTCTTATACTCGATCGAGTATCTGGTTGAAATTTCAAATCGGATCGGATCCGAAAACAAAGGAACATGCAGAAGAAGATTTCCCCATGATCGAGTGTCTATACCCGATCGGGTACACCGACATACTCGATCGGGTATAGCTATGAATTCTGCTCTAAATTCGATCGAGTATGGATCGAATTCAGCTTTCTACACATACTCAATCGAGTACATATATATACTCGATCGAGTACCCGACCTGCACCCCAAAAAAACCTATAAATACACCTCCTTTCCTACACAATAGATTCACCAATTCACATATACTTCTTAGCTCAGTTTAGACAAGTTCTTTCTTTATATTTTTCATCATGTTTAGTCTCCAAATGAGGAGCTAAACTCTTCCATCTTGGTTTTGCTACTTTGAAGCTTAATGATTTGTAAGTTGTGAGTTATTTTCTTTAATCTTCTTCCTTGAATATTAATTACTTCCTATTCTTATTCCATATTAATATATTGAGCATTACTTAAAGTATCAACTAGTCTTGTTCTATATATTAACTATTACTAGAATCGGTCGGTTAATACGCTTGTTATTAATTCGGTCCTTTCACGGTAGTAAACTTGGGTTGTTAATACATGCTTCTCATGGTTAATAAGCCAAGGGGAATTAATTATACTGATTCAACCAATAAACCGCTTGTGTTGAGGTTATCAATCTCAATCGTTTTCATCTTGATTTTATTGCTACTATCAAGTTAATATACGGCGCTTGTTCTATATTGACTCGGTAGTAAGTTTTATTAATGAACGCTTCTCGTTATTAATAACTACCCTCGATGAACTGGATATACTCCTCGATTGAGTATTCGAGAGGAAGATAGTTAAAGATATAACCGGGATCGATGAACATTTCATTAAGTGGATAAAAGCAAAACCAAGTCTTCTTCTCATTAATTAAACCACATAACTCGTTCATCTTTGTGTTTTAATATTCTAAAAAGTTCTTCAACAACAAATCTAAAACCCCCCCTTATTACTAGTTATAAAAAGAGAAGTATTCCTTTCCCTGCGGATACGAACCTTACTACGATATACTACGTATAAGTGTTGTATTGTATTTATTATTTTGAGTGCAGACCACGACAAGTGCACGTCAAATTTGGCGCCGTTGCCGGGGAAAGGCAATTATTTTTCTTTTTCTTTTATTTCATGAAAAAAAAAAAAATATAATTAAATAAAATATAAAGAGTTCTTCTTCTATTTCTGAGCTTTGTAAAGTATATGGTAAAATATCGTTCACTGAACGAAATCACCTACCAATCAAACCCCGAAATAGAACAAGCTCTCGAGCGGTTGAAAAATAAATTCTCAACTACCGACTCAAGAGATTCATCAAGTGCCAGTTCTTATTCTAGCGAGCCTGAAGAGCCAATAACTATGGCTCTCGAAACAAGAACGTTGAGGGAGCTCACAGCTCCAAACTTTAATCAACAACCACTATGTATTACCTTCCCTACACTCAACGAAGGTAATACACTTGAGCTCAAATCAGGGCTCATTCATCTTTTGCCATCCTTCCATGGGTTAAGAGGAGAAGACCCAAATAAACATCTCTCGGAGTTCCATGTTGTGTGCACGAGCATGTGCCCCAATGGAGTCACCGAGGAACAGATAAAGTTGAGGGCCTTTCCATTCTCCCTCAAAGATACTGCGAAAGATTGGCTATTCTATCTTCCTTCGGGAAGTATAGATACATGGGCGGCCATGAAGAAAGCTTTCCTTGAAAGGTACTATCCAGCCTCTGTCTCCTCATCTCTCAAAAAGCAAATAAGCAATGTGGAGCAAAAAGATGATGAATCATTCTATGAATACTGGGAACGATTCAAGAAACTTTGTGCAAGCTGTCCGTATCATGGCTATTCGGAGCAAGACCTCATCCTATACTTTTATGATGGTCTTTGCAATGATGATAGGCGGATGATTAATGCCGCATGTGGAGGAGGAATCGTTAACAAGACTCATTCTCAAGCTATGAATCTTATCTCGGAGTTGGCCAAGAATTGTAGATATCACAACGGGCGGACATCAACAAAAAGAGTTATGGCGGCCGAATCAACATCGTCTCTAGAAAGTCAAGTTGCCGGCTTGACTTCTTTGGTTAAGGATTTTCTTTTAAATTCCAAGACCCAAGAAGTCAAGGTCTGCGGCATCTGCACACAACAAGGTCACCCCACCGATGCATGCCCGACCCTTCAAGAAGACAACCCCGAGCAAGTCAACGCTTTGGGGTTCCCAAATCAGAAAAGGTACGACTCCTATGGCAATACTTATCACCCCGGGTTTAGAGATCACCCCAATCTTCGTTATGGGAATCCGCAAGGAAACCCACAACAAAATAACCCTCCACCAAATCAATTTCCTCCAAATAAACAACCGTACTCTAAACCCCAAGGCCAAGGCTCAACTATGTCCACCGAAGACATGATCCGAGCACTCACCTCAAATGTCTCAACCATGCAACAAAACATGGTTCAATTCCAACATGAGACAAAATCAAGCATCCAAAACCTTGAGAATCAAATGAGCCAAATCTCAAGTGCGGTGAATAGGCTTGAAGCCAAGGATTCAACAAAGCTTCCATCTCAAACGGAGCCGAATCCTAGGCAACAAGCCCATGCGGTTACATTGAGGAGTGGCAAAGAATTGGTGATGGCCAAGGAGAAAGCCAAAAGCCACATTGGCGAAGAAGAGGAAGAGGAGCTTGCGGACAAATCTCAACCGGAAGAAGAGGAAGCTCGCATTTCAACTCCACCCCCGGTTATTCATGAGGTGGAAGCACCGTTTCCCGAAGCTCTAAGGGAAACAAAAAGGGTGGAGAAAGACAAGGACATCTATGAGACATTCTCCAAATGTGAGGTAAATATTCCTCTTCTTAACTTAATAAAAGGTGTCCCTAGATTTGCAAAATTTTTCAAAGAGCTTTGTACAATAAAAAGAAAACATAGACTCAATGGAAAACAAAAAGTCCAAGTTAGTGAACGTGTTTCCGCGGTCTTTCAAAAGAAACTCCCAAAGAAATACAATGACCCCGGAATGTTCACTATACCTTGTAATTTGGGCGGCACTACTTTTTCAAAGGCCATGCTAGATTTAGGAGCATCAATCAATGTTATTCCTTATTCTTTGTATAAAGCACTTGAGCTTGGCCCTTTAAACGAAACCGGAGTGGTTATCCAACTTGCGGATAGATCAAACGCCTACCCTAAGGGTATTGTCGAAGACGTACTAGTTATGGTAGACAATTTGATCTTTCCCGCCGACTTTTATGTTTTGGAAATGGAAAATGATAAGAATGTGGTTCCTATCCTTTTAGGAAGACCATTTTTAAAGACCGCTAGAGCTAAAATTGATGTTTTTAGCGGATCTTTAACTATGGAATTTGATGGAGATAAAGTTGAATTCAATATTTATGACTCCATGAAATACCCAAATGAAAATCATTCTCTATTTGTCATTGATATTATAGATCCCCTTGTGCAAAATACTTTTGAAATGAATGGGGAGGATGAACTACTAAGTGTGATTGAAAATGACCTCGGGGAAAATTCTTTAGAACTTGCTTTAACCCCCAATATACAAGCCATGATGGTGGAGTTGGATAACCATTTCCAACTTCCACTTATGCCACCGGGGTCAAAATCATTCCCACTAACCATCCCCGAGGAAAAGCCTTTGCCTTCTATTTTGCAGGCTCCCGAAGTTGAGATGAAACCTGTAACACCGTCCCCAAATATATTTACTTTTATGTAAATAATGTATCGAACCTTATTAAAGGATTAATGAATTTACGAAGTTGTAAATTTTTATTATTTCTTTCGCGTGAATAGTAAATTGCACGTGGGACCCACACCGGGAGCGGGGCCGCCCGACACTCCCGAGACCACATATTTTATTCATCTTGGTCAAGATAATATTTATATAGTGGTGAGTATTTCATTTGGGTCGTGGCAAGGCGTAGAGTTGACCGATTGGGAAAAAGAGGCCCAATTACCGGTACCGACAATTTAACCGGTAACAGCCCGGAAATGAATTTCGGAGGCTTATAAATTAAAGTTGGGGAATGTATATTCATTATACATGTCATAATGAGTAAGAGCACATAATATATTTTATTTGACCCGATAAAATAAAATATGATTAAAACAGTCCGAAAAATACAACTTTCGGGACCGATTGTACACGCCGGGACACAAAGGGATGACCTCCCACATGAGTGGGGGCCACCCCACGTTTTTGTGCTAGAGTAGGCAAGGATGGGCTGGAGTTGACTAAGGAAAGTGTGGAGGAGGAGGCTTGGGCATCAAAGGTACACCCAAAGGGGCCCTTTTCCTCACTCATTTGCCAAATGAGACAAAGAGAGCCATCCCCTCCCCTCCCTCACTCATTGGCTCGACCAAGCAACCAAGAATAGCAAGGGGGAGCTCTACAATTCACCATTTTCACACCCAAATTCGAGCTCAAGGAAGAAGGTCCAAAGAGGAGTGTTTGGAGAAGGAAAAAGGTTGGGAAAGGTGTGAACAATTAAGGTAATGACCTTATTATAACTTTTCCTTTATTTTTTCTTCTACCATATAAGATATATATCATGTGAAGGATCCTTAAGAGGGTTCTACATGTTATAAGTATGGATTTATGGGTTGGGAAGTGATTCTATGTCCAAGAACGGACTTAGAAGTCAAAACGACCGGTTCACCGGAAAATAACCTTTTTGAGGTTATTTGTATTAACATGGGTTTTATGATTATAAAACCTTGTTAGGCACTTGTAAAGGGTATTTCAAGTGATTTCACAAAGTTGGAAAAGTCGCCGGAATTGTCGCCGGAGTTGACCAAAAGTCGCCGGAGTTTCACCGGAGTTCAACCAAGAAGGGTAGAACTTCTTAACGCTAGTTCAAGGTGAGTGGACGGCTTAATATCTTATAACTTTTGGGTCAATTATGAGATTACCTAAATAAATTTTATATGTGTTCATAATGATGTTCAAAGGATATTTAAACATGTGATTAGCTAACATAGTTAAGTGCGTATGAAAAGAATAATTGTTTATGCATGAAATATGATATGAGAAATTATATAAAATGCATATTTGCTTTAAGAGTAAAAGAAGCACAAATGGATATTATTAACTTAATTATATGATGAATTAGTTAATAAGTGTAAGACTTGAGATGGCGGTCAACAACAACGTTGACCGATGGCTAATGGATTAATTAATATCGGTTGATATTAGTTAATTATACATTTATATGGTTGCATGGATTTGCATGGATTGTGATACATAAGCTTTATGTAGTGAATTAGTTATGAATGACTAAATATGATATAGACCCTATCTAGCGTGATATGTGGTAAGTCATAGGTCGGGTGGAGTACCCAAGGATCGGGCGGTTATCCTCAAAACTCGGTTATATAGGGTGGAGTACCCAAGGATCGGGCGGTTATCCTCAAAACTCGGTTATATAGGGTGGAGTACCCAAGGATCGGGCGGTTATCCTCAAAACTCGGTTATATAGGGTGGAGTACCCAAGGATCGGGCGGTTATCCTCAAAACTCGGTTATAGGGTGGAGTACCCAAGGATCGGGCGTGTATCCTCAAAACTCATAGATTACATTTAATGATCTAGGACCGGGCGGTGTCCTTATGATAATTTATTTGAACAAGGAGGAGTTCTATACACTCATAGGTATATGGGTGGGTTGGGATTTAAGTCAAGGATATTGACTACTATTATTTTCCCAAATAAACAATGACCTACGGGTCGGGTATTTCCAAGTGTATGTATACTAATATGTATTTCAACTTGGGAAAAGGACTATACGTATATGTATCACCCTATGTTTGGGTCTTATACTTGAAACGATAGTTATTCTATATTTAGCCTGCTACTCGCTCGGTACTTGTACTGACCCCTTCGGGGGGGGGCACCATTTTCAGGTTGAGGCTAGGGCTTGCTACCTGCACCTTTCTACGGGTGACATCAAATCAAGGAAGACGTGGTTCGTGCTTCCTCATTTTATTTCAAATTACTAAACATTGCTCATGGATATTTTTATTTGTCATAAACTATTCTTTTGGGGCTTGCATGCCCATGTTATTGGCCGGTTGTGGCTTATGACTTACCGTTGAATATTTCCGCTATTCATTGGTTTAAATGTGATGTTGTTATGTATGTTTACTACTGAGTACGGATGGATTATTTTCTCGAACGCCTTGTGTAATCAAGTGAGGTTGACTCGCGGGTGACGTCACTCGATTATACGGCGGTTGTACACGCGCTTGGATTGCGGTCTGGGGCGTGACAATTAAGTGGTATCAGAGCCATCTCAGTTCTAAACTATATAATCAACCTCTCACATGAGATTTTACGAAAGAGTTTTTACCAAAAAAAAAACATGAGCATTGGATTTTGACGTTTATGGGACTATTGGAGCTTAAGTTGCAAGGCCTCTAATTGTTAAGACGGTACCCTTAACAATTGGTATGGTAGTGACTTGGGCCAATACGTGTCTGTAACGTTCTTCCGTCAGTTGACATTTATAGGAGTATAATGACTCATCCATATTTCTTTCAGAAATGGAGGGCAGGCGAATGAGGACCAGGAACAATCCGAGGGGGCAGACGCCGGTAGCATCCCAAAGGGGAAGCCGGGCTGCATCTCGGGGTTCAAGAGGAGGCCGTGGAGGCCGTGGAGGTCATCAAGCTCAAACCGTGAGTGATGGCCATGTAAGCTCGGTGTATGAAACCAACACCGAGGACTACGACTCAACCTACGTCCCGGAGACGGAGCATGAGGAGACCCCGTATGATGGGGGTGACACTTACACCGATGATGATGATGATGAAGAGAGTGATGCCCGCTTCGCCCAAATGGGCGAATTACTAGAGTGGTATCAAAAGGAGAAACTGAGGAGAGACCTTAGGCGCCAAGCGAGGCGTGGCTCTCGTGGTGGTTCGGGTCAAGGAAGCCGGGGAGCTTCCGTGGCCACCCCAGCGGCGTCACAAGGCGGGCGTGAAGGAGGTTTTGTTGTGAGGATCTCCAAGTACCTCAAGGAGGCTAGGGCCTTGGGGTGTAGGTCCTTTGACGGCACCGGTGACATTACCGTTGCCGCCGATTGGATTAGGAAGGTGAAGGATGCATCAAGAGACATGCAAATCACACCGGACGTGAAGTTGACTGTCGCTTCACGGCTACTTGAGGGGATAGCTTCTACGTGGTGGGAGAGCGTGGAAGGGAAGTACCATGGGAAAATAACATGGGCGGATTTTGAGCTAGAATTCTATGCTCAATACTACTCCGAGTACGAGGTGAATGTGAAACGGAGAGAGTACACTAACCTCAAACAAAAAGATGGCGGCACAGTTAAGCAGCTGGAACAAGAGTTTAGAACCTTGGCTAGGTTCTTGCCAGAGTACGCGGTTGATGAGAACCGTATGACGGAGCACTTTTGGGACGCCCTACTCTTGGACATCCGTGATCGGGCTACGTACTCGCGCCACATGACCTTTAGCGAGGTGGTGGAGCAGGGCCTTCTTGGGGAGGCCCAATGGAACGAGAGGAAAGCAAGGGACGCCGAAGAGGCGAAGAAGAGGAAGTGGAATAATTCGGGGCCACCCGATCATTCTCGAAGGAACAACCACGGGGGTGGTGGTGGTGGTGGCGGTGGTTCATTCAAGACGCCGGCTCCACCGGCAAAGAAGAATAGGGATGCGAGGTGGCACGGACCTAGGCCACAGAACTCGGGGCCACCTAGATGTCCCAATTGCTCAAAACAACACTTCGGGAAGTGCAATGAACCACCGAGGTGTTTTAAGTGCGGGAATGCGGGCCATATGAAGGCCAATTGCCCTCAATTGATGCAAGAGAGTGCCTCGGGAGCCGGGGGAGGGACCATGACGGGAAGGAACCGTGCGGGACCATCAAACGGCGGCACGGGAAGAGGCGGCGCATCCACAAGCCATGCCGCATCCGTCAACCAAGGTGGGACCCAAGCCCGAGTGTACGCGATGACCGAGGCGGATGCGAGAGCAAACCCGGACTCCGTTGCAGGTAATACACGTATTCCCATGTATTTCTAGGCTTACTTTGATCATATACGTTGTTGGGATTGAGTGCGGGCCACCCCGGGGTCGAACCGGGTGAGTTAGGCCGAATCGGACTAGAAACAGCCACTGCTGGCCAGGCACGGCCGCAGGCACGCCGTGCCTGGCGTCGTGCCTGGAGGGCAGTGGCACCCGAAGAGAAAGAGAAAAAAAAAAAATTTGGGGCCAGGCACGGCCACAGGCACGCCGTGCCTGGCGTCGTGCCTGGGAGGCAGTGGCGTCCGAAGAATTTTTGGCCAGGCACGGCCGCAGGCACGCCGTGCCTGGCATCGTGCCTGGCCGGCAGTGGCCAGCAGGGAGAGTTTGTTGCACGCACGGCCGTGCGTGCCACCCAGGCACGCCGTGCGTGGACCCCCAACACCCGAAATTGATTTTTTCGCCCCGTTCTTCTACGTTTGGACTCCCGTTTGATTCCAAACATTAGTATGAGCCTAATAACCTCCTAAAGATGTGTAAAAACATTAGAAAATGTATCTTACATGGTGTATAAATGTAGGAACATTAAAGATCAATGGTAGGTGTGCGAGGATCCTCATCGATACCGGGGCACAACGCTCATTTGTGAGTGAGGCATTCGCCGAGGGCTTTGACGTGCCATTGACACCTATGACTCAAACGTTGCTAGTCTCCACACCGTTAGGAGACGACGTAGATAGAAATCATTACTATCCGTCGTGTGAGGTAGAAGTGACGGGTCAACCTTTGACTTGTGATTTCGTACCTCTAAGCATGTTGGAGTTTGATGCAATCCTAGGAATGGATTGGCTCGAGAAACACCATGCCCGGGTAGATTGCTACACCAAGGTGTTGGAGCTCGAGGATGATCAAGGGAACACGCTATGTTTCGAGGGAGATCGGGGGAAATCTAATGCTTGTATCATATCCGTGATGAGAGCACGAAAGATGATGAGGAAGGGATGCCACGCATACCTTGCTTATGTGGTAGATGATACGAAGAAAGAGGTCGACATCAAGGATGTTCGAGTCGTGTGCAAGTACCCGGACGTCTTTCCCAAGGACCTACCGGGGCTTCCACCCGATAGAGAGATTGAATTTGTAATCGAAGTGGAGCCGGGAACCAAACCCATTTCGATTCCTCCTTATCGAATGGCGCCGGCCGAACTCCAAGAGTTGAAGGTCCAACTACAAGAATTACTGGACAACGGGTTCATCAGACCCAGTCATTCACCGTGGGGAGCACCCGTACTCTTCGTAAAGAAGAAAGATGGTACACTAAGAATGTGTATCGACTACCGACAGTTGAACAAGGTCACCATCAAGAACAGGTATCCTTTACCTAGGATTGATGACTTGTTTGATCAACTTCGAGGGGCCATAGTATTCTCAAAGATTGACTTGAGATCGGGGTATCATCAGTTGAAGATCAAGGAGAGTGACATACCTAAGAGTGCATTTCGCACTAGATATGGTCACTACGAGTTTCTTGTGATGTCATTTGGGTTAACCAATGCACCGGCAGCATTCATGGACTTGATGAACCGTGTGTTTAGTGAATACTTAGATCAATTTGTGATAGTATTCATTGATGACATCTTGATATACTCCAAGAGCGAGGACGAGCACGAACACCATTTGAGGCTTGTACTTGATCGGCTAAGGGAAAAGCAACTCTTCGCCAAGTTCTCCAAATGCGAATTTTGGCTCAAAGAGATTGGTTTCCTCGGTCATGTCATATCCGGTTCAGGTGTTGCTGTGGATAACGCCAAGATAAAAGCGATCATGGATTGGGAGAGGCCCAGGAATGCGAAGGAGATACGTAGTTTCCTTGGCTTAGCGGGATACTATCGTAAATTTGTGGAAAAATTCTCCGTATTGGCGTCTCCATTAACGAAGCTCACAAAGAAAGGGGCCAAGTTCATATGGGACGATAAGTGTGAGAAGGGGTTCCTTGAATTGAAGAAACGACTTACCAAAGCACCAGTCCTGGCCCTACCCATACAGGGTATAGGGTACGACATTTATAGCGATGCTAGCATCCAAGGGCTTGGATGTGTACTAATGCAAAACGGTAAGGTGATTGCCTATGCTTCTAGGCAATTGAGGAAACACGAGGTGAACTACCCTACTCACGATCTAGAGTTGGGGGCGGTGGTGTTTGCATTGAAGATTTGGAGGCATTATCTCTACGGGGAGACGTGTCACATTTATACTGATCATAAGAGCTTGAAGTATGTATTCACTCAGAAAGAGTTGAATATGAGGCAGAGGAGATGGATGGAGTTGATCAAGGACTATGACTTGATCATCGACTATCATCCCGGAAGGGCCAATGTAGTGGTAGACGCACTGAGCAGAAAGAGTACGTCAGGGACGCTACTCACATGTCTACAGGCATTGAGGGCACACATGGAGGTATCCACGAGCGGGGCGCTCATTGCTAGATTCGAGGTGAGGCCTACATTGCTGAGTGAGATCAGTAGATGTCAGGCCATTGATGAGGAATGTCAGAAGATCCGCGAACGGATCCTTGAGGGGCCCGTCGAGAATTTTCGGGTACGTGATGACGGCCTTTTATTATTTAAGAATCGTGTGTGCATACCAAAGAATGAGGAGCTCCAGAAGGCTATACTTGAGGAGGCTCATTCTTCAGCATATGCCATGCATCCCGGGGGTACTAAGATGTACCGAGATCTGAAGGAAAGTTACTGGTGGTCAGGCATGAAGAGGGATATCGCAGAGTTTGTGAGTCGATGCCTTACTTGCCAGCAAGTTAAGGCAGAGCATCAGCACCCAGCAGGGCTCTTACAACCACTCACCATCCCAGAGTGGAAGTGGGAACATGTGACCATGGACTTCGTGGTGGGGCTGCCACGAACAGTGAACAACTACGATGCAGTATGGGTAGTGGTTGATAGGCTCACCAAGAGTGCACACTTTCTGCCTATCAACATTACTTATCCTCTTGAAAGATTGGCCAAGCTATACACGGAGGAGATTGTGAGATTACATGGAGTCCCAATATCCATTGTCTCGGATAGGGATCCACGATTCACATCCCGATTTTGGCCAAAGTTTCAAGCATCTTTGGGGACTAAACTGAAGTTTAGCACAGCTTTTCACCCACAGACGGATGGACAGTCCGAGCGGGTGATACAGATTTTGGAAGACATGCTTAGGGCATGTGCTTTGGAGGTCCAAGGAAGTTGGGACAAGCATTTGGCCCTAGTGGAGTTTGCTTATAACAACAGTTATCAAGCAAGTATCGGCATGCCTCCATATGAGGCATTGTATGGGAGGAAATGCAGAACACCATTGTGTTGGGACGAGGTTGGCGAGGCCAAACTCGAAGGGATAGAGCTAGTTGAGATCACCAAGGCCAAGGTGAGGATCATTCGGGATAGATTGAAGGCCGCTCAGGACCGACAGAAGAGTTATGCTGATAAACGGCGGAGACCGTTGGAGTTCGAAGTCGGTGATGAGGTCTTCCTAAGGATTTCTCCTTGGAAGGGCATCATCCGATTCGTATCGAGGGGGAAGCTTAACCCCCGATACATAGGTCCGTTTGAGATCCTTGAAAGGATCGGGGCCGTGGCTTACCGACTCAAGTTGACGCCTGAACTTGAGAAGATACATGACGTGTTTCATGTATCAATGCTCAAGAAGTACATACGAGACCCATCTCATATTCTTGAGAGACCACCGGTAGAGATCCGTGAGGACTTGCAATATGCGGTGGAACCAGTGAAGATTGTTGGTCAACAAGTGAAGAAGCTTAGGAATAAGGAGATTCCTATGGTAAAGGTCCTTTGGAGGAGTGATCGAGTCGAAGAAGAAACTTGGGAGACTGAGGTCTCCATGAGGGAGCAATACCCATTTCTTTTCGATTAGATACTTGGATTTCGGGGACGAAATCCCAAATAAGGGGGGGTGAAACCTGTAACACCGTCCCCAAATATATTTACTTTTATGTAAATAATGTATCGAACCTTATTAAAGGATTAATGAATTTACGAAGTTGTAAATTTTTATTATTTCTTTCGCGTGAATAGTAAATTGCACGTGGGACCCACACCGGGAGCGGGGCCGCCCGACACTCCCGAGACCACATATTTTATTCATCTTGGTCAAGATAATATTTATATAGTGGTGAGTATTTCATTTGGGTCGTGGCAAGGCGTAGAGTTGACCGATTGGGAAAAAGAGGCCCAATTACCGGTACCGACAATTTAACCGGTAACAGCCCGGAAATGAATTTCGGAGGCTTATAAATTAAAGTTGGGGAATGTATATTCATTATACATGTCATAATGAGTAAGAGCACATAATATATTTTATTTGACCCGATAAAATAAAATATGATTAAAACAGTCCGAAAAATACAACTTTCGGGACCGATTGTACACGCCGGGACACAAAGGGATGACCTCCCACATGAGTGGGGGCCACCCCACGTTTTTGTGCTAGAGTAGACAAGGATGGGCTGGAGTTGACTAAGGAAAGTGTGGAGGAGGAGGCTTGGGCATCAAAGGTACACCCAAAGGGGCCCTTTTCCTCACTCATTTGCCAAATGAGACAAAG